GGTAACTGGGGGTGCCAGTGGAGCTCTTTAATGTCAGTCTGTCCCTGGTGTATAAATAGGAGCTGGGGTGGTACATCCGGATCACCCTTTTGCTGCTCTATACTGTCTTTTTCTACACCTAGATCCCATATTGTTATCTGATCATCAGAACCTGATGCAGCAAACACAGAACTGTCAGTAGGGTTCCACTCCAGCGAGGTTATCGGTGCTGTGTGGTGTTTGAACGCGGCAACAGACTTCCCACTCTGAAAAAAGACAAGTGAATTAAATGTCACAAATGGTATTTAACTGTAATTCTTTTACATTTCCTGAATATGTGTTCATTACGGTAATCAGTCATTCAGTACAAACTCTCTATAATGATCAGTAATTGTTACCTGTCTATAATTAACATCCTGTCAATATAAATCACTAGCCTATAACAAACCACCTGTTAAAAGTTATCACCTGTTAATAAGAACACATGAAAGTAGGTATTACTTGTCTATAATGAACACCTATCAGTAGATATCATCTGTCTATAATGAATATCATGCCAGGAAGTATTACCTGTATATTATGAACAAGTAATAAAGTACCAACTGTCTAATATGAACCCCATATAAAATGCTATCACCTGACAATAATGATCACCTTGATCTATGCTGAACCACTACTCTTCAATAGGTTTCAAATAGGCTAAATACACAGGTAAATTAAATATCCAGATTTTAAACAAGAGAAATGTCACTAGTATTTACCTGGAAGAACCTTAGGTCCCACACTTTTATAACTCCATCATCACCTCCCGATAGGATGTAAGGTTCACTCTTGTTCCAATGTATGACATTGATATCACGATCGTGGGCATCGCTGGCTGTCAGCATACAAGCATTTGAAGGTGATGCTCTGGCATCCCACACACGGACTGACTTGTCTACTGAGCAGGATGCAAATACCTGTCATATTGAAAGACATTTTACCTGTAGGGTAATGGCTACACGAATTAAAATATAATGCAAGATCATTACATATTCTGTAGAGATGCTGTTTTCATCGTAGTTTTTAAATTTACTTCAATGTTTGGTAAAAAGAAGAAAGCACTAAATAAAATTCTGATACCAAGTGAACAATTCTTACCATCCATAGGTTAAAAGATGTAGCCATTATAGAATTGTTGTTCAAACTTAATAATTGAAAAAAATAAACATCCTGAGATAGTAAGTATAGAAAGTTTTGTGAACATAGTTGAAAGAGTTTTGCTGTGGAATTATAATGAAAAAAGAAAATTAAAATGAACCAAGGGCCATAACACTTTTCATTGTTCTCCAAATCGTGCGGGACGCGAGAACACCCCAACCTTAATACCTGCAAAATATGTTCTGGTCGCTTGACCAAGAAAATTTAGCTCTGTAGAATAAAGCAAAGGCAGATGGAGCTACATTGTAGACTCACAAAAGCTGAGTTATGACTCCCTAAGGGTGAGCTAGGGGCCATTTAGGATGAGCAAGCTAGGACTTGCTAGGACTTTCTATGTTGTATCCTTTCCAATAAAAAATATCTTGCAACCATTCAACCTGAATATAAATAGGATGGACATTTGTGTCCTACAAACTTAACGTAGCCCCCAAGTTATATTGGTAGGGAACATATGATACGGGGAATGACTATGTGTTACTTGTGAAAAGTCAAATTTCGACTTTCAGTATGTCCCTACATATATTTTCTTATGTAAGATAAGCTTCAGATATGACATGTCTGTCAATTCTGTTGAACATGGAAATGGGATTATTGAAGAATGCAAGCTTAATATGACACGTCTGTCAAATCTGTTAAACAAGGCAATGGCTTAATTAAGAACGCTGGCTTATTATGACATGTCTGTCAAATCTAATGAACTAGGCAATTGGCTAAAAGAAAAC